AGGACCCCCTGCTGCCTCACTCACCTCCCCCAGGGGCAGCCTCTCCAAAGGAGTTCTGAGCTCAGCTTCTGCACCCTTATGCTCTGCCCAGAAGTCGCCCCCCTCTTCACTACTGTTCGAGGATACATGATGACCTCTTGGCACAACATGACTGACTGTCTCTCTGCCTCACAGTGAGGACTGCTTATCCCTTTTTGTTCACCAGTACAACCGTGGTATTTACTCATCAATTATTTAGGGGACACCATGTTCTAAGGTCTGGGTTCACAGCAATGAACAGAAGAGACACAAACCTTCGACTGCAGAGTTTACACTGAAGTACAAGAAGACAGAAGGTACATGGAATACAGAAATTACAAGGCATATTATAACTAGGTACTAAGTGATACAAACAAAAACAAAGCAAGAAAGGGGGACGAGGGGTGTCTGCTACCCTTCATGCAAAATACAAATGACTGTCCTGATGGGGCTGCTCAAGGAAATGTGTGGTGCAGAGTCCTCAACAAGATTCACGTACAAAAGCTTTAAGAGTCCAAATGCAGATCTATTTCACTTCAAGTAAAACAATTAACGGTATTACTTCCTTCTAGACCAAAAGCCTAAGAGAAAAGCTCTGGTATCATTCACCTTTGTACTGCTAATGTCTGGTTGATCAAAGAAGGAATGAATGAAACCTTTCCTCTCAGCAGTCCTGCTTTGCACCAGGTCCTGAAGCAATGCTTCTCCATAGAGAATAAAAAATGGAAAAATTCACTCAGTAACACATTTTCATTATTGTAACTGCTTTGTTTTTGGCTGATATAATTTAATTTAAAGCAAAATAAAGAAAGAAATTTATTCTCAAAAGGTATAATTTTTAAAGACTGAGAAAGAATATCGAGAGATCACCTAGTTAAATCATTCCACCTACAATACTGTATGCGTTGCATATAGCTATCAAGTCTGTTAACATTTTGTTAAGTATGATGTTTTATGTTATGCATTTTCTATTGAATTCTTTTCGAGTAAAGATTTTCGTGTTTGTTCAAGAAAGCATGCAAAAAATTCTTCTAAAACTGAAGTAGGAAGTGTCTTATCCCTCCAGTAAAACAAAGCTTACAACATCTGTAGTGTATGTGGTCCTGGGCTGGGCAGAGTTTAGGGACATAAAAGGATCTCGCCCACAAGGAGCCTATGTGCATTAATCGATGCAATGCCCTGCAGGGCTACAGAAACAGAAAAGTGCTCAGCAGAACCTTAAAAATTAAGGCAAGGATTCCTGAAATACCTTTATAAAGATGGGTTAAGGAGCGAAGCTAAGAAAAAAAAAAGACCTTCAACGGCAGGCAAAGAAACTACAGGCAGCAAAGACAACGCCAAGGTTTGGGGGAAGGGCTGTGGTCAGCACAGGCCAACAAAAGGTGGTCCAGCCTGCAAGGAGAAAGTCGAGGTGGCAAGGCCCCTGGGTACATCTTAGTTGGGTGGGGGACAGTCACTGAGGAGTTTTCAAAAAGGTCTTTAAAGCTTCAGGATATGCCTTTAAAGCAATCTCTGGCTACAGCCTGACAAAAATGGTGTGTGCAAATAAAAACAAGCATTTTATTTTTATGCCACAAATAAATACCACCCTAATTTATCAGTTTTTGAGCCAAAACTTTTGCATGCCACATTTCATAAAGAACATTTTCAGTGAAGACTTGACTGAACTTAAGCTAAGTAGGAAGTGCTCTGCATGTTACAGAATGCACTATGTGGCCCAGGTCTCACTACAGCAGGGAGGCAGGGCTGTCAATGAAGAGGGAACCAGACCATGACAGAAGGCATAACAGGCACCACTCACCTGCAACCCTTCCTGAGTACAAAGGTGCCACGACAGCCTCACTAGAAAATATGGCCAAAGAGTTTATAAAGGCACTGAAGTGACAAAAGGTATGGGGCTCTGTGGGCGAGGAGGGTGAGAAGGAAGGAGAAACAAGCTAAGTCAATCATTTTGCCTGACCATAAGGAAGACATTTACACATGGGAAAAATAAGTGTTAGAACATGAAGAAAAAAACATTCCCATGTTGGAATTATTCTCCCCCTTTTAGTAAGAGAACCTAATGGTTATCTACCTTAAAATTCCACATTCTAATAAAGAAATTCATTTTGCAATCAAGATAACTTCAGAAGTAGAATAGCTCCAAACATATCACAAGTGCAACAATTAGGAGCAAAAAGTTCAAACTGAACTAAATTAAAATCTGGTCTGGTGAGTTTAACCCTCTCAGAAGGCTGTGCCTCCTTTACTATGCTCTAAAATTAGCTCTTACAGAAAAAGGAGAACTCTTTACCGGAATAAAGTTTTACAAAAACAGCATAAGTGACCCAACCCTGCAGCAGTGTCTGTTTAACAATGTACTTTTAATAAACACAGCTTTACTGCTTGTTTTCTTCTCTTCATCAGAAAAGCTGAATCAATGGTCTCATAGGCGGAATCACGATACATGTGATTTTCTTGCATTTACCAATCTGAAAAAAAATCCTTAAATATGGGAGAACTCTGCAACAGAGTACAAGCATGAACCCAATTTGAAACTTGTGACTTACACATTAGGATGGAAGCAAATGAGATTTAAATATATTTATAGAGCTTTTTGCAACCTCAAAGAACCATCATAAAGATAATACAAGTTACTTAAATTAGAATACCTAGATTATAATCCTAGTTTTCACTATAGAAAGTATTAACTCCAGCAGGACACTTTGTAATAATGGTGAAAGGCGTATGTCGGCCACTTCTTGGTGGGTAACATCAACTGCAGCTCTATCACTGTAAAAACCTCTAAGATTGTTGAAATCTATGCAGAGTAGTGGGGCTACTTTAAGGCATTGTTTATTGTTATTACCATTAAAAACATGATGTTCGCATCTTGCACTTCAGTATGTATTTTAGAATTACTTTATGATATATGAAGGCTACTTCATTAAAAACAAGTGTTTCATGTACATGTATGGCAAAACCCACTACAATATTGTAAAGTAATTAGCCTCCAACGAATAAAAATAAATGGAAAAAAAAAGTGTATCTTTCCACAGATTTTAAACATGCATTTATGAAAATTTGTGCTTATCTGTGAAAACCGTATTAGTATGAATAAATTCTCCAAACCTCAATTTTTTAGAAGTAGAATCCCTAGGAACATTAAATAAAATTCAAATTTTTCCTAAAGGTGCTGCCACTTAATCCCAGCTATTCTTCAACAAAACACATAAAAATGAATGCCAAGAAATTTCTGTACTCAAACTATCATCCATTTTCCCTGGCTATTACTCAAATATAGTATAACTCCTTTCTCCAAATAAATATCCTGTCCTCAGAACTTGCTTTCTTTGCCCAAATGCCTGTGATAAATTAAAAAACAAAAAATTATGTTAATAAATTGTTAGTCACCAAAAGAATATTGACAATAGTAATAAGGTAAACACCATTTCCAAATTCTAAATAGGAACAATACAACAAAATATTAAAAACAACCAACATCAACATGTTACAAATAGCCCTATGAAGCTGTTATTATTACTATCCCTCTTTCCGATATGAAGAAAGTGAAGCACCCAAAGGGTAACTTCTAATCAATAAGAAACCATGTCTATCTCTCTTCACACGCCCATTTTTTCACCTTAAAAAGTCAACTCATCAAGTTTTGAAAATACAGGATGAAATGTATTTCTAAATGTAAGTTTCAAAGCGAAGTACACAAATCAAATGAATGGTTGATTAATAAACTTGCTAATCTGATGCCTTTGATAAAGTATTCCATCACAGCAACTTAAGCAAAGTTCTATCAAGCGGTTTTGTATAGCCTGATTACAAAACTGCCTTGCAGAGTATTAAATACAGAGAAAAACTGACAAGCCACAACCATTTCAATTTCTGTAAACTACCCCAACGGTAAATTAGAAGGAGCCAGGTAGATGGGAAAGTATGCAAATTGCACACTGCACATACTGACCTCCACAGAAATGAACATCACTCTTCCCCACTGTGGTCTTTGCAAACTACAACTCAGAACCTATTTCAAAAGCATTTTATATACTTAACACAAAAAAAGAGACCAGATAAATATCACAAGAAAAACTTTAAAAGGAGAAATAAACTTCAATGCTTATAACATTCGTCTTCACGTTGGTATTATCTTTTTTAAAAACCCTGACAGAAACTCATTTCCCTGCACAGTTCAGGGAAAACTTCGCGTTCCTTCAGTTCTCCAAAACTTTAAGCTTCCACTTAACATTTAGGGCAAGTTACAGCGCAGCCAGGCAGAGGGTCTCGAACGCACAGGATAGCTACACTACAGAAAATCTTCTCAAGTTTCAACTCAGCCTAAATTAAAGACCATTTTACGTAGAAATGAGGGGGAAAGCAAGATGACCTGCACGGAAAGTTGCAATACAAAATTACAGTGAAGTCTGAACAAGTCTTAAGTTTGACGTTCTGATTGGACACGACTGAGAAGCAGGTGGTGAGAGACTCCTGATCTGCCCCTTCCTCAAGCACAGGGCATCTTTAGAATTTTTTCCCATTTCTTCCAGACTCTGCGTGTGCTCAAGCCTCTCAGAGGAGAGTGGGCGCGTCCCAAGCACACCCAGAGCAACAGGATTCCACTTCCTGGTCCGAGGGACCCGGGCCCTCCCCGCCCGGCCGGCCGCGATCCCGGGCCCGGGCGGAGGGCAGGGCGAGGCCGCCGCAGTGCGGGCTGGACGGCTGCGCTGCCCGGACCCAGCCCCGGCTCCCAGGACCGCGGCACGGCCCTGCCTGGACCCAGCCCTAACCGCCGCCCCGACCCGGCCCCGGCGCGCACTCAGGCCCCTCGGCCCGCGCCCCGGCCCGGCTGCGCCAGCCCGGCCCTGCCCGGCCGCGTCCTCCGGGAAGATGGCGGCCCGTGACAGGCGGGCGCGGCGCGGGTCCGAGGCGGCGGCCGGGCGCGGCGCGGCGGGACCGTGAGCGGGGAAGAGCAGCCCGCCCGCCGCCGCGCTCACCTGTCAGCGCCGCCGCCGCCGCCGCCGCCCGGCCGCCGACCGCCGCAGCCCCGGTGCCCGGCGACCGCGCCACACGCGGACGGGCTGTGAGGGAGTGGCGGGAGCAGGGGCGCGGCCGGCCCGGACGAGCGGCGGGGGTCGGAGCGGCGCGGGCTGGCGGCGGGACAGCAGCGGCTCCTTCCCGTTTCAGGCCGAAAAGGTCTCAACCTCGCGACTCCAGCGCCCCAACGCTCCTTCCCGTTCGCATGAGAACACACAGCTCCCGCTTCCGGGACCTGCCGGAAGTCCCTCCCCTCGCGCTCGCGCGCCCGCTACTCCCCACTGGGTCCGCCGACAGGCGCTCGGCGCCCTTACGTCATGTCGACACGACGTCTCGATTGGCCTCGCGCGGCGCCGGGTCCGCCCCCTCCTCTAGGCCCCCGGGCGCGCGTGCCCCTGCCGGTGGCGCCTGTGATTGGTGGGGGCGCGCACGCAGGCCCGCCCCGCGCACGTATGCCCCCGCCCCAGCCCGCGCACGCCTTCAGCTCGGCCCCCCGCCTCAAGCTGAAGGAGGCGTGTGAGCCGGGGTCCCTGACTCCGCCTCTTTCATTCAGGAACCCTAACTGGCCCTGAGCCCGCCCCCGCTCTCGTCTGCAGAGGGCCGCGACCCAAGTTCCCCTAGGCCCCGGACCCCGGTTCCTGACCCTCTCACCGAGATCAGACTCCGCCCCGATACTGTATGGCTGCCCGGTGGTTGGGTCAGGAAAGACCCCAAAGCGCGCTCTGGAGAAGGGGAAGGCGGCGCCCACTGCCCGCCAGCCGGCTACGTTCCCCACGCTTTCAGAGAAAATGCCGAAGACTGGGGACGTCTTCCCAAACCCGAGCTGGTACCACCTACCCGACCCGTTCTGAGGGGAGGGGAAACAAAGTGAAGTGTGTTCATGGGTTTTAAGCCTGATTGCCGGCGTGCCTGCTGCGCCTGGCCATGCTTTGTGCAGACATGCATGCGGCCTGAAGGCTGCTCAGGGTCCCCGGTCCAGCTTCACCCGTGCACCGGCGCCTCTTAGCTCTGCTAGACACCCCCAAGGCGCGCCTCGGGCTTCGACGTCAGGACTGGGAAGATCACCTATCGACACCGGTGCTGGGCGCTGACTTTCTGCTTTGGGATACGTTGTCACACCCCCTCTGAGAAACTTGCCGTTTCACTAGTGCTACTTGTGGCAATGTCTCTAAGATAATCACGTAAGACAAAGTTCCTCTAAGATTCAAAGCATGTGTCAATACATATTTCAGGGAGAGAAAGTCACCTTTGGCGTTCACTTTCCAAGAGAACCTGTTGCCTGCGTTGCAGAGCCCTTCTGAAGGACCTCTACATGGGACCTCGCAGACTGGGGCCCAGGAAGTCATCCCTAGGCGCGGTGATGTGGTCCTCCTTTGAAAGCCTGGGAACCCTCTGGAGTTGGCAAGTTACACCTCCATTTTGTCTGCCTGTGTCTGCGTCTGGCAGAAATTTTGATGCACAGATAAATTCCCGTACAATAGAGACTAAAGGATAGGAGAATGCTTTATATTAAAATGACGTCTCTTACTTTCCATTAATGTTATGTGATCCTTCCCGAACAATCAAAACTGGCTTTTTTTTTTTCTTGTGTGATTATCTTAACCTGTACTTCAAAAGAAGCACCCGTTTTCACCTTAGGGTGTGAGGTTATATATACCACAGTGAATTTTTATGGCATTTCTACTTAGAAAGATAAGATCAATTTTTAAAAACTACTTCTCATCTAAAACAGTTACAAGTTCTACATATTCTATCCAAAACCTCTTTCCTTTTCCCGCTTTTGGTGGTTTTGCCTGCTGTTACTTCTCTCCCAATTAGTTTTAGTAGCCTCACCGCTGGTCTCTGCTTACCCACCATTCACCAAGCTAGCTTACATTTCCTTTAAAACCATCCCCCTCTGAGTCCAGACTTCTTGGTTGCCCCAAAGGGTGAAGTCCAAATTATCTTTCATGGGCTAGTAGACCCTTCACAAGCTAGCTCGCAGTCCCCTCATGTATTTTTTTCTTGCCCTAGGGTTAGATACCGTAACCTTCAAATCACATTCTTTAACAGGCTTTTTTGAAGGCCTTAGGGTAATCTCTTGGTCTGAATGTGAGTGACACATAGGCTTTATACTCTATGACCCTACCATTTACTGAAAGACCAGTGTGCAATCACCCAAGTGTGCTAAGTCCTGTTAGGGAACAGAACAAAGCGAGGAGCACTAGTTCCAGAGTGTTTGCTGTTCATGAAGTTTTGAGTGGAGTGTCTTCATTCCTGAGCACTTTGGTCTTTTGGTGTCCTTCTGCTTCCACTTCTGCTAAAGTCTGGCTTATTTTTCAAGTTACACAAGTGTCAACTATTTGTATCTTTTCCTTCCAGAAAATTCATTTCCCTCCTGGGCCCTGGTAGCCCACACCACATTGCTGCTCTACCTCAAGGTCTGTGCCAAGTGCTGGGGAGATGGCCCAGGGCAGCACCGACCAGAAGACAGATGAACAGATAGCAAGGGATAAAGAGGAGTAAGGATTACCATGGTATGTGCACAGATTGCCCAGGTAGCAAGCACACAGGAAGGTCTGAAGCCAGCTTGGGAAGGAATCAAATAAAGAGATAAGTAGACCAAGGCCAAAGAGACCACAGTGGAGGGGCTGTCAACACACCTTCCAGCAGGGTGGGAGAACATGTTTGAACATGACAGAGCATGAAACCACTCTGGTAAGGTGGGTGGAAGGCATGGGAGGCTGGAGGGGTAAGCATGGTAAGAACCCCACGGGTCTTCTAAACGCTTAGGATGTTTGAATTTGGTAGTGAGTCAAGATTTTTATTAGGAGGCAAGAGGGGGCTTGTAAAAGGTTTTAAGTTCACAGAGAATCTCTGGCCCCAAAAAGTCATCCAAGTAGAAATGCAATAAGGAACTAACTTAGTCAAATTAGATGGAAGTATCAATCTGAATATGACAGTAACACATTAGAATGCATTGGGAAATAAAAGATTGCATGAGTTCTTACTAAATAGAAATAAATATGTAAGTAAAAAAAGTAATAGAGATGAGGAAGAAAAAGGGAAAGTTGTTCCTTACAGTAAAAGACTGACTAATGAATGGAGAAGGAATTATTTTTTAAATTACCATGTTGCAACTGTGGTAGCATTTATTCTGGCAAGAATCATCAGTGAATGATAAAAGTCAGTGAGTAAAAGTTGTTGAGTGAAAAGCTGTGTATGCCATTTCACAGCTTTTTAGTTGCTTATTGGTTATTGATTTCAAAGGGGGAAAAGGCATTTTTCCAGTTAATCATGATGGTGTGATCACTCACCTAGAGCCAGACATCCTGGAATGTGAAGTCAAGTGGGCCTAAGGAAGCATCACTATGAACAAAGCTAGTGGAGGTGATGGAATCCCAGTTGAGCTATTTCAAATCCTAAAAGATGATGCTGTGAAAGTGCTGCACTCAGTATGTCAGCAAATTTGGAAAACTCAGCAGAGGCCACAAGACTGGAGAAAGTCAGTTTTGGTTCCAATCCCAAAGAAAGGCAATGCCAAAGAATGCTCAAACTATCACACAATTGCACTCATCTCACATGCTAGTAAAGTAATGCTCAAAATTCTCCAAGCCGGGCTTCAGCAATACATGAATTGTGAACCAGCTGTTCAAGCTGGTTTTAGAAAAAGCAGAGGAACCAGAGGTCAAATTGCCAACATCCACTGGATCATGGAAAAAGCAAGAGAGTTCCAGAAAAACATCTATTTCTGCTTTATTGACTATGCCAAAGCCTTTGACTATATAGATCACAATAAACTGTGGAAAATTCTGAAAGAGATGGGAATACCAGACCACCTGACCTGCCTCTTGAGAAACCTGTATGCAGGTCAGGAAGCAACAGTTAGAATTTGACATGGAACAACAGACTGGTTCCCAGTAGGTAAAGGAGTACGTCAAGGCTGTATATTGTCACCCTGCTTATTTAACTTATATGCAGAGTACATCATGAGAAATGCTGGGCTGGAAGAAGCACAAGCTGGAATCAAGATTGCTGGGAGATATATCAATAACCTCAGATATGCAGATGACACCACACCCATGGCAGAAAGTGAAGAAGAACTAAAGAGTTTCTTGATGAAAGTGAAGGAGGAGAGTGAAAAAGTGGCTTAAAGCTCAACATTCAGAAAACTAAGATCATGGCATCTGGTCCCATCACTTCATGGCAAATAGATGGGGAAACAGTGGAAACAGTGGCTGACTATTTTGGGGGGCTCCAAAATCAGTGCAGATGGTGACTGCAGCCATGAAATTAAAAGACGCTTACTCCTTGGAAGGAAAGTTATGACCAACCTAGACAGCATATTAAAAAGCAGAGACATTATTTTGCCAACAAAGGTCCGTCTAGTCAAGGCTATGGTTTTTCCATCAGTCATGTATGGATGTGAGAGTTGGACTATAAAGAAAGCTGAGCACCAAAGCATTGATGCTTTTGAACTGTGGTGTTGGAGAAGACTTTTTTTTTTTTAACATGATTAAGAAGTTGAATATTTTATTATTAAATTGTTTATTCTCCTGCAAGTCTGTTGCTTCACTGTATAAAAATAGTACCAGCAAACACAGTATATTGCAAAATTAAGACAGTAATATTCTTCATTGGACACTATACAACTAACAAACTTTTCTCCACTGGCAGTTATTTCTAGTGGGAAGATCATTTTGACCCAAATACAAGAATAGCTGTAAGCAAGTTACAATGTCATATAAGGTATAAGATAACCATGTTACCCTTGAATTACATAATTTTTTTTCCATTTATTTTTATTAGTTGGAGGCTAATTACTTTACATCATTGCAGTGGTTTTTGTCATACATTGAAATGAATTAGCCATGGATTTACATGTATTCCCCATCCCGGTCCCCCCTCCCACCTCCCTCTCCACCCGGAATTACATAATTTTTGTAATTAGTTTTACCAGAGATAGTTTCAGGAATTCTGAATATTATAACTGGAGCCTAGCCTAAAAATCACAGGATGCTGTGGACAAGATGCACAGTGTTTATCTGAAGGCATTAGAAAGTTAAGGGGTATTTTCTTCAGGAAACACTGTTACAAGTAGTTTCTTTTGCTAAAAGTTGTTTTTTAAATATCTATCCACCACTAATTTAAGACAACTATGCTAGATTAAGTTGTTTCAAAGTAGTTTATTTAGGGGTTCCATTTTCATTCCTCAATAGATTTTATATATTTCTCATATGCTTCTTCACTCATTAGTTCATCTCGTTCTGAAGGGTTACTGAATGTCATCTTGATCAGCCAACCATCTTCATAACAAGACTTGTTGACAAGTCCTGGATTTTCTGCTAGAGCTTTATTAATTTCAGTTACTTCTCCTGATAGAGGAGAATAGAGTTCACTAGCAGCTTTCACACTTTCCAAAGCACCAAACTCCTTTTGTTTGTTCAACTTTGTCCCAACTTCAGGCAGACTACAGTAAGTAACATCTCCCAAAGCTTCCTGTGCAAAACTGCTGATTCCCACTGTTCCAACACCGTTTTCTGTTGTTACCCATTAGTGTTTTTCTGTGAATTTCCGCACCGACAGCAGAGCAGGGCCGGTGTGCAGCGCCCAGACGGCACCCGCCCACAGTCCCCAGGGCCGCGGCGAGCAGGGCGCGCTGGGTGCGGAGATGGCGCAAAGGCTGCCGACCTCGGCCCACAGGCTCCGCACCTCTTGCAGCACCATGTTCGCATGGGTGCAGATGGTCTCCGCGCGGCACCTACAGCACCCCAGCCGGTGGGGGCGGGAGAAGAAGACTCTTGAGAGTCCCTTGGGTTACAAGGAGATCCAACCAGTCCATCCTAAAGGATATCAGCCCTGGGTGTT